CATGTGAAAGTAAGATTTCGGAATACCCTGAATACCGATTCTTTTCACATGATTGTATAATTGAAGTAAATATTGAAGTAAATATTCAGACTTTTTTTGTGTGTGAAGATTCTCAACTTCTTTTTAGAATGTGCTGTGTGTTGCTGTCAGAGAATTGCAGTAGTTACTGGCACTCAAGTACAGTAAGATTTCCCCACACCATTTTTGAGAGATCTGTGAACAAAAGCCTGCCTAATATATATGTCTGTGTCAATTTTATGGACCTTGCAGAATTTTAAGATGATTGGTTATTTTTCAAGCTTTGCACTTTGGAAAATAACAGACACATTTAAACCTTTAACTGCCCAGTACTCTAAATTATTGTGCTAATAACATGGCATAAAGATGAGCATCATAGCATAGGATGATGAATAACCTGAAAAATAGTTTTGACAGATATTCTGTCCTTAGCAATTGTTTTTGTACTTACATCATTACTGTTAGGGTTAATTTAGGAAACGTCTATTCCCTATTCACTTAGTAAAGTAAATGTTCACTTGGGAAAGTGTATCCTCACTCTCCAAAGTACAAATCATAACAAATAATGTGAAACTGTATTAATTCTGGGGAAAAAAACAATCATGTGCTAAGGAAAAAATTTACTTTTGCAACACTATTGGTGAATGAACACATTTTCATCTTGAGTTCAGAGGACAATTTACTCTGCAAAGTGAACATTGACTTTCTTAAGTAAATAGGCCACTCCTATAGTGAATCAACTCTCTCGGATTTTTGGGGGACAAAATCCCCCATGAGGTGACCATAGATGGCCCATTAATAACAGCCATGCTGCCATTTGAAAGCATCTGAGAATCTTGATTTCTAGAACAGGTATCTGATTTCTAAAAAAGGTAAAAAGACAAACTTACCGACAGAGCCCCCCCCCCCCCCTCCCCACACACACACATACACACAGTTTCCACACTCGTACATGCACACACATACATACACCCACACACTTGCATCCTGCCAGCAGGGATAATCCTTCAAAAAGTGAAAGATTATATACTTGTAAACAGGAAGGCATCCCATCACTTACTATTGGACCATTGCGTTGTGTCCCAGTGCTGTCCTGTATGGATGGGCAGATATCTCTCAGTCGATTATTTTAGGGGAAGACATCTGCCCATCCATGGCCACCTTCACTTTAGACAGATTGTAAATGAGACTGATGCATGTCTGTATTTGATGATGTCATGTCTGGAGATTTCTACATTTATGGGAAGAGATGTGCACTTCTTGCAAAGGAACTGTGGCCATAAAGAGCAACAATTGAGATTGTGGCTGAATGGGCGAACAGTGACCAGGGGAAAAACTACCATTACATGTCAATTGCCTTCTTTTGTTTCAGCGAGTCAATTGCTGTAATTCAGGGTCGTATTCGGCGTTGCTTCTATTCTGCCTAATGTTGTTAAATAAAATCAAGATGTGAGCTATGACGTCCTGCACTAGTCAGCCCTGTTTTATGTATGTAAATATCCTTCCAGTAAAAACTGTACTACTGGTGAATTGTATGGTGGGGGATGGCACTTCAAGGAGGAGAATGAGAAGCTTCAAAAGGGTATGACTAAAATGATATTAATTCCAGGGTTTGCTACGTCTGTGCTATAGTAAATGTATCCGCAAAGTGCAGTGCATGGTTATTTTGTTTAAAAACAGCAACAATACATAAACAATTCGATTAAGCTGATTTACTAAAGAAGTTACGAATCTTTACACAATAAAATGTCTGATCTGATGATATCTTATCAGGGGAAAAAAGCAGATTTCTGTCCACACTGAATTTCCAGTCCTGTGCAAATGAAAAAAAAGTAGACAAGAACTTGATTTTCATATGACTGGGTAATTTAAGTGAATATTCGCACACTGTATTATGTGAATAGTCTCACCTCCCTTAGTAAATCAATCTCACTGTTTTTACTTTCTGCATACATTTGTACTGCGTTTTGCACAGCAAAGATTCCTATCAGATAGAATTCAAGTTCACTTGTGTTTTAGTTTCTACTTTTCTCATGTATACATAAATACACAGAACATCTAACACGGAAATCCTGATTCACTTAAAGATTGTGTACAAGGCTTCTTAAATCAAAGTGGAAGAGAGAAAATAAAATCCTACCTCCTAGCAGAGAGCAGCAGTATTTTTTTCCTCCATTATCTGGTGAAGTTTATTGCACAAGTGTAGCCTGGGGATAAATACCTCCTAGTAGCTTGTCTCCTGGCTCTGGACACACTAGACGATACAAGAAACCATGCCTTCCTTCTCTGCCACGTGCAGATTACTTTCCTGACTCCCATGTCAGAAGTTTCCCTTTTATTAACTAATAATAAACATAAATGTCCAGCAAACAATTCTTGGACATGTAGAACTTTACTCAGTGGTCAAGGTCATCCATGTCTATGTATTTTCTGAGTGAAACTAATATTAGTACGAGTGTAGCCATTTTGAATCATTATATCTAGGCCTGTTACAGAAAGGTAATCAGGGTACCCAGAGTGTCTTGAGCTTTCTGTAACACGGAGATGTGTTCTGTAATAAAAGTTTATTTGTTAAAGACTTTACACAAATAAAAAAATAAACAGTTTATAAACTTGCGTAATAAACAAATATCAAATTGATCAAAGCCCATTCTAGCTTTCTTTTTAAATAGGAGCCAACAACTATTGTTTTTCCACTGCTGATTACTTAGTGAGGCCAGCAAAGCTGTACAAAATTCACAGTAAGGTCTCCAATGTTGCATAGTGGAAGTGGCAGGCCCCTCTTAGTATTTTGTTGTTAGGTTACCTATAGTTCTTAGGCTGATATAAAACTTAAAGTCACAGCATGCGCTGTTGCTAGTATTAAGAAAATGAATAAGTCATACTAGTCATCTTTAAATTTAATTTTCACATTGTAAAGCAGGCCAAACCATGACAGAGGACAGGATTATAGTTTCATCTTGTTGTCTATTAACCAGCAGTGGAAAAAATTTGCCTTTGGTGCATTTTATTAGTGTTAAGCACTGTAGCAGAAAGCTAAGAAGAAGAAGATGCATTGACACTGCTCTGTGTCTGGAGGCTGCAGATAATTGTTTAGGATGCCCATGGCCATGAGTGAAGTTTATATTACATTGTAACATTAATCCAGACACTGACAGACTTGGCAGAAACATTTCAATTTAATACGTAAACAAGCCTAAACCTGATTTGTTATAAATTATTAAGATATGTACTTGTCCAGCTAC